TTACTAAAATCTGTTGTATATTTGTATTATCTGTAAAATAAGGTACATGAACTGTGTGTTCTTAATTTTTTGAAGTTCTGAGATTTGAAATCTTGTGGCTGTTTTCTTTTTTCACATCTTGCATGTAAATAGATCTATTCTGTTTAATACCTTTATTGAGAATAATTTAATTTTCAAAAGAAATCAAAGTATCTTTTATTAGAAACAAATAGAAAATCTATTGATTCCTTTAGCCTTTTTCTGGTCATTATGGCATTAATTACTCTGATGCTATCAAGGAGAAGAGAAATGTATACTTTTCATCTAGGAAATATTTTAAAAATTACTTTCTGAGGTTCAGGGGATTTGGGGGAGAGGTAAAAACTGCAGTTTATTCAGGGACCTTCTGGGCCTCTCTTCTGTCTGCCTGCTGGGCTGGTGTAATTACGGTGACAGCCTAAATGTAGGCACACATAGCACATTGATAGGACCTACACAAAAACAGCATTGTATTGAAATATCTGTGAGAACTATCCCATATAATAATGGCTTCTGGGGAAAGAATGCAAGGAGAGCATATGCAAGATGGTGGTGTAGAAGGACGTGCGCTCATCTTCTGAGAGAACTCCAAATTTACAACTTGCTGCTGAACAAGTATGGATATGAGAATGTTGGATCCTACCAAAAAAAGATACCCGATATCCAAGGGCAAAGGAGAAACCCCAGCAAGACAGTAGGAGGGGCAAAATCACGTTTAGAATTAAACTGATACCTGCCATAGATGCTCGGAGGGCTCAAACAAAACCTTGTGGCACCAGGACCCAGAGACCCCACAGAGACTGAGCCATACCTGCGTTTGAGTCTCCTGCAGAGGGACGGGTCATCTGTGGCCTGCTGCAGGGGGAGGGGCTCTGGGTGCAACTACCTGGGTCACAGCCTCTTGCAGGAGGTCATCATTAACCCCACCATAGAGCTGCCGGGCAGACAACCCACAAACTGCAGAACAATTATACCAAAGAAATTCTCACACTGTTAAGAGAGTTCTGGGACCCACAACAGATTTCCCAACCTGAGGTTCTGGCAAAGGGATTGACTTTGGTGGCCAGTGGATTTGATTACAGAACTTACACAGGATGGGAAAACAGATTCTTAGAGGACACAAACAAAACCTTGTGTGCACCAGGACCCAAGGAGGAAGGAGCAGTGACCTCACAAGACACTGACCCAGACCTGCCTGTGAGGGTCCAGGAGTCTCTGGTGGAGGCGTGGATTGGAGGTGGCCTACTACAGGGTCAGGGGAACTGAGTGTGGCTGTGCGTGCATGGGACCTTCTGAAGGAGGTCACCATTATCTTCACTACCTCCACCATAGTTTGGTCTCAAGTCAAACAACAGGGAGGAAACACAGCCCCACCCACCAACAGAAAATTGGATTAAAGATTTTCTGAGCACTGGCCCTGCCTATCAAAACAAGACCCAGTTTCCCCCTCTGTCAGTCTCTCCCATCAGGAAGTTTCCATAAGCCTCTTATCCTTCTCCATCAGAGGGCAGACAGAATAAAAACCACAATCACAGAAAAGTAATCAAACTGATCACAAGGACCACAGCCTTGTCTAACTCAATGAAACTATGAGCCGTGCTGTGTAGGGCAACCCAAAACAGATGGGTCGTGATGGAGAGTTCTGACAAAACGTGGACCACTGGAGAAGGGAATGGCAAGTCACTTAAGTATTCCTGCCTTGAGAATCCCATGAACAGTATGAAAAGGCAAAGAGATAGGACACTGAAAGATGAACTCCCCACGTCAGTAGGTGCCCAATATGCTACTGGAGATCAGTGGAGAAATAACCCCAGAAAGAGTGAAGAGAGAGAGCCAAAGCAAAAAAAACACCCAGCTGTGGATGTGACTGGGGTTGGAAGTAAAGTCTGATACTGTAAGGAGCAATATTGCATAGGAACCTGGAATGTTAGGTCCATGAATCAAGGTAAATTGGAAGTGGTCAGACAGGAGATGGCAAGAGTGAACATAGACATTTTAGGAATCAGCGAACTAAAATGGACTGGAATGGGTGAATTTAATCCAGAAGACAATTATATCTACTACTGTGGGCAAGAATCTTTTAGAAGAAAGTGAGTAGCCCTTATAGTCTACAAAAGAGTCTGAAATGCAGTACTTGGGTGCACTCTCAAAAATGACAGAATGATCTCTTCTGGTTTCCAAGGCAAACCATTCAATATCACAGTAATCCAAGTCTATGCCCCAACCAGTAACGCTGAAGAAGCTGAAATTGAATGGTTCTATGAAGACCCACGGGCTTCCTTGTTGGCTCAGAGGGTTAAAGCGAGGAAATAGCAACCCACTCCAGTATTCTTGCCTGGAAAATCCCCTGGACGGAGAAGCCTGGTGGGCTACAGTCCATGAGGCTGCAAAAAGTCGGACACGAAAAAAAAAAAAGAGTCGGACACGACTGAGCGACTTCAATTTCACTATGAAGACCTACAAGATCTTCTAGAACTAACACCCAAAAATGATGTCCTTTTCATCATGGGCAACTAAAATTGAAAAGTAGGAAGTCAGAGATACTTGGAGTAACAGGCAAGTTTGGCCTTGGAGTACAAAATGAAGCAGGGCAAAGGCTAATAGAGTTTTGTCAAGAGAATGTACTGGTCACAGCAAACACCCTCTTCCAACAACAGAAGAGAAGACTCTACACATGGACATCACCAGATGATCAATACTGAAATCAGATTGATTATATTCTTTGCAGCTGAAGATGGAGAAGCTCTATACAGTCAGCAAAAACAAGACCAGGAGCTGACTGTGGCTCAGATCATGAACTCCTTATTGCCAAATTCAGACTTAAATTGAAGAAAGTAGGGAAAACCACTATACCATTCAGGTATGATGTAAATAAAATCCCTTATGATTATACAGTGGACAGGGCAAATAGATTCAAGGGATTAGATCTGATAGACAGAGTGCCTGAAGAATTGTGGATGGGGTTCATGACATTGTATAGGAGACAGTGATCAAGACCATCTCCAAGAAAAACAAATGCAAAAAGGCAAAATGGTTTTCTGAGGAGGCCTTACAAATAGCTGAGGAAAGAAGAGAAACTAAGGAAAGAAGAGAAGCTAAAGGCAAAGGAGAAAAGGAAAGATATACCTGTTTGAATACAGAGTTCCAAAGAAAATCAAGGAGAGATAAAAAAAAGTCTTCCTCAACAATCAATGCAAAGAAATAGAGGGAAACAATAGAGTGGGAAAGACTAGAGATCTCTTCAGGAAAATTAGAGATACCAAGGGAATGTTTCATGCAAAGATGGGCTCAATAAAGGACAGAAAAATTATGGACCTAACAGAAGCAGAAGACATTAAGAAGAGGTGGAAAGAATACAGAGAAGAACTATGTGAAAGAACTAGGAGAAAGATCTTCATGACCCAGATAACCATGATGGTGTGATCACATACCTAGAGTCAGACATCCTGAAATGCAAAGTCAAGTGAGCCTTAGGAAGCATCACTATGAACAAAGCTAGTGGAGGTGATGGAATTCCAATTGAACTATTTCAAATCCTAAAAGATGATAGTGTGAAAGTGCTGCACTCAATATGCCAGCAAATCTGGAAAACTCAGCAGTGGCCACAGGACTGGAAAGGTCAGTTTTCATTCCAATCTCAAAGAAAGGCAGTGCCAAAGAATGTTCAAACTACTGTAAAATTTTACTCATCTCACATGCTAGCAAAGTAATGCTCAAAATTTTCCAAGCTAGGTTCAACTGTACATGAACCATGAACTTCCATTCAAGCTGGTTTCAGAAAAGGCAGAGGAACCAGAGATCAAATTGCCAACATCAGCTGGATCCTAGAAAAAGCAAGAGAGTTCCAGAAAAACATCTACTTCTGCTTTATTGACTATGCCAAAGCCTTTGACTGTGTGGATCACAACAAACTGTGGAAAATTCTTCAAGAGATGGGAATACCAGACAACCTTACCTGCCCCCTGAGAAATCTGTATTCAGGTCGAGAAGCAACAGGTAGAACTGGACATGGAACAACAGGTTGGTTCCAAATCAGGAAAGGATTACATCAAGGCTGTATATTGTCACCCTGTTTATTTAACTTATATGCAGAGTACATCATGTGAAATGCCGGCCTGGATGAGTTACAAGCTGGAATCAAGATTGCTGGGGAAAATATCAATAACTTCAGATACGCAGATGACACCACCCTTAAGGCAGACAATGAAGAGGAACTAATGAGCCTCTTGATGAAAGTGAAAGGAGAGTGAAAAAGCTGGCTTAAAACTCAACAATCAAAAAATGAAGATCATGGCATCCAGTTCCATCACTTCATGACAAATAGATGGGGACACAATGGAAACAGTGACAGACTTTATTTTTTTCAACTCCAAAATCACTGCAGTTGGTGATTGCAGCCATGAAATTAAAAGATGCTTGCTCCTTGGAAGAAAAGCTATGACCAACCTAGTGAGCATATTAAAAGCAGAGACATTACTTTGCCAACAAAGGTCCATCAACTCAAAGCTATGGTTTTTCCAGTGGTCATGTATGGATGTGAGAGTTGGACTATAAAGAAAGCTGAGTGCTGAAGAATTGATGCTTTTGAACTGTGGTGCTGGAGAAGACTCTTGAGAGTCCCTTGGACTGCAAGGAGGTCAAACCAGTCAATCCTCAAGGAAATCAATCCTAAATATTTATTGAAAGGACTGATGCTGAAGCTGAAACCCCAATACTTTGGCCACCTGATTCTAAAACTCATGAAGAACTGACATTGAAAAAGACTCTGATGCTGGGAAGGATTGAAGACATGAGGAGATGGAGACGACAGAGGGTGAGATGGTTGGATGGCATCACTGACTCGATGGACATGAGTTGAGTAAGCTCTGGGAGTTGATGATGAACAGGGAAGCCTGGTGTCCTGCAGTTCATGGGGTCGCAAAGAGTCAGACATGACTCAGGGACTGAGCTGAACTCTGGGGAAAGGTTAATGAGTCACTTACGTGTTTTCATGTTTAGGTAGAGGCTGATGCTCAAGTAATTGATCAACTGAAAAACTGATCTAATGGAATATAGTAGAATAAGTTATTAAGAAAATATTAGCTTAAACAACATGAACTTGGTGATATTTAGACATCTTGAACTAAGAAAATGAGTTTTGTAAGTTCAAGCTAATATGTAGATAGTCTCTAGAACTTTTCTTTTTTTAAAGAAATTTGTCTTATTGAAGTATTCCCACGAGCAAAATGGTATTTTGTTATTCATCCCTAGAAGATGAATCTAGGATTGTATTTCTAAAAACCTTAATTGTCTTTATTGGCTTCTCTTACTGGGTTTTCTTGTTCTGTGTTTTAAAATCACTAATGCCCTATAGCAGAGAGAGACAAAAGCTGATGCTTTAAGTCGAATTACTGAGGGCCTCCCTCGCAGCTCAGATGGTAAAGAATTCACCTGCAATGCAGGAGACTGGGTTTGATCCTTGGGTTGGGAAGATCCCCTGGAAAAGGGAATACCTACCCACTCCAGAATTCTTGCCTGGAGAGTTCTGTGGACAGAGAAGCCTGGTGGGCTGCAGTCCACGGGGTCCCAAAGAGTAGGACATGGCTGAGTGACTAACACTCACTTTTTCTCTTTTCTTAGGGGAATATGGAGACTGCCCCCAGAATAAAGAGAAGGGTCATGTAGGTATGATTTGTGAGAGAGGACCTGGGCTGCCTTGCCACATGTGGCCGATGAAGGGGCAGGACCTCTCAGGCAGTAGGGGGAAGATGCTTAGGTTTTGGCATCTTAGGGGACCATGGAGAAAGGTCTCCATGCCCAGGCCTTCAAAACTGCACTTGAATAAATGATATGGCCCTGGTGAACAGAATGCACTCAAGGCTTGTGGTCTTTCCTCACATTTTCCAGATCATACTCTTATATGGCTCTAGGAAGAACTTCTAAAACAAGATTGAGTTTGCCAAGCAGCTATGATCACCACTGTACCACAAATATACAAGATTCAGTTTGAAGTTTCCCTCAACTTTAGCAGTATGGTGTTCTATAGACAGAATTCTGAGACTACTGATTCATGATCTGATTATATGACCACCATGAATAAAATATCAGGCCATAATGTGTTTGACTGAATTTTTCACGGACTTTTCTTAATCATAGTATCTGGTTTTTGTGGCTCACATATGGTGAGACATTTTCTTAAACCCCAACTGGAATACCTAGGATAGCAGAGATTTTGTTCCTTCCAGATAGGAGAAGTAGTCTGGGAAACTGGCCAACATACTGACATTTCATGGACATTTTTGCTTTTTTGTTTTTACAACAATGGGCAGAATATTTATTATTGTTCTAATGTTTTAGGAGATCTAAGAAATACAGCAGTCAGTCACACTGACTCAGTTTCTCCATCTGGTTCTCCCTGAATGTGGTGGTACAGACAGTTTTTTGTTACCCCTGTTCATTTTCCAAACTTTAAAATTTTTATTGTCATAAAAGGTGGTTCCATATGTGGTTATGACTTAGGGGACATCCTGAAGGAGTTTGGGCAAAGAGATGTCTCCTACTGTTTCCTTGAACTCTACCTTAAGTGATTCATGTCTATATGTTGAATATATATATATATATATACACACACACACACACACACACACACACATATATATTTACTGCTGTTATCCTCTCTAAACAACTTACTGTGAATAATTTTTATCAGAATTCCTTATACCTATTGATTGAACAGATTTGATCTATATTAAAAAATGTTCAAGGCATTCAGCTAAGGAAAGAAGAGAGAAGACATGGAAAGGAAAAGAGGGAGAGAGGTATATCATGTTACTTTACTGTGTAAATGTTTCAATCACCTATTTTAGAGACCTCATGAGTTTTCTGTCGTCAAAATAAACTTAAGAATCATGCTATAACCAATTTGCAAGTATGGCATGAGGTAATGGTGGGATATTGTTTTCCTGCTACTATATGAACTCTTTTATCAGAGTTTAAAAAGAGTTTTTATTTGGTTGTAAAGATGGGGAGACACATTTGGTATAAAATATCTCTAGAGTAGTTACTAATAACTTAAACAGCTTAGAGTCCCTTGGACTGCAAGGAGATCCAACCAGTCCAGCCTAAAGGAGATCATTCCTGGGTATTCATTGGAAGGATGGATGCTGAAGCTGAAACTCCAATACTTTGGCCACCTGATTATAAGGGCTGACTCATTGGACAAGACCCTGATGCTGGGAAAGATTGAGGGCAGGAGAAGAAGGGGAGATAGAGGATGAGATGGTTGGATGGCATCACCGACCCAATGGACATGGGTTTGTGTGGACTCCAGGAGTTGGTGATGGACAGAGAGGCCTGGCATGCTGCAGTTCACGGGGTCACAAAGAGTCGGACATGACTGAGCGACTGAACTGAACTTAACTGAAAGATGCTTAGCTTCATCTTTCAATATTTGCATGATGAATATATGCACAGAATTCAGCAAATAACAAAAAAACCCCAAACAGAACTCCCCAAGCCCCACCTAAACACAGCTTAAATGGTAGGCACTTAATTTTCCTCCTGTTTCCAGATCCTAAGTATGAGGCTCCAGAGTAGGTTTAATACTTCAGGAATATTAGGGTTCTGAGTTGGCATTCTGTGACTTGCTTGCCTTCCCCTATGGTCACGATATGGCTGCAGCAGCCCCAAGCTTCAGGTCCTCATGAGAGCATTTAACAGCAGGAAAAAGGAGGGGTTTCTTTTTATTTTATCATCAGGGGAGAAAAGCTTTCTCAGATAACTCTTGGAAGACTTCTCTTGCCATCTTATTAGCTGGCACTGGGTCAATTTCCTCTGCCCTAGTGCAAGGGTAGCCAGGATGGGGAGAATCTACTATTTTTAGTCTGTATTTGTTAACGAAAAAGAGGAAGATGGGGAAAGATCTCAGATAAATACTATTTAGATCCATCCTTCGTTTCTACCAAATGTGTTTCCTTGAGTACATTTCTAAAAAATACATCATTTTCCTGCTCTTAAACTTTCAGTTTTTTTAATAATTGGAGTAGAGCAGTCCATGGGATTGCAAAGAGTTGGACATGACTGAGTGACTGAACTGATAGTTGATTTACAATATTGTGTTATTTTCAGGTGTATAGCAAAGTGATTTGGATACATATATATATATATGTATATGTATATATATATGTATATATGTATATATATGTATATATATGTATATATGTATATATATATAATATGTGTGTATATTATTTTTCAGATTCTTTTCCATTATAGGTTATTACAAGATAATGAATATAATTCATTGTTGTTGTACAGTTGCTCAGTCATGTCTGACTCTTTGTGACCCCATGGACTGCAACATGCCAGGCTTCCCTGTCCTTCACCATCTCTTGGAGTTCACTCAAACTCATGTCTATCAAGCCAGTGATACCATCCAACCATTTCATCCTCTGTCATCCCCTTCTCCTCCTGCCTTCAATCTTTCCCAGGATCAGGGTCTTTTCTAACAAGATGGCTCTTCCTATCAGGTGGCCGAAGTATTGGAGTTTCAGCTTCAGCATCAGTCCTTCCAATGAATATTCAGGACTGGTTTCCTTTAGGTTGGACTGGTTGGATCTCCTTGCAGTCCAAGGGACTCTCAAGAGTCTCCCCGTGCTATACATTAAATCCTTGTTGTTTATCATTTCAGTAACTTTTATTGCTAGTGAATACAATAAAATCCAGCCCCCCACCCCTCTTTACTCTCCAGTGGCTACTAAATGAATCTGGAACAGACCCAGAGCATCCCTCTGTTCATACTCATGCTCATGACGTTTCCTCTTCTTGTGATCTCCTCTCCACAATCTCCCACTGTATGCCAATTTAGACATCAGTGCTCAGGTCCAAGGCTGCCTTCTCCACGAAGCCTTCCCAGCTTCCCTCCATCATCTATGATTTCTCTTTGCTCTCAGCTTCCTCAGCAGCACTTCCAGTACACAGTAGGACCTGCCCACCCATACCTTTGACTTTTGATTATCACAAGACCCCAGAAAGACCCGACTCAGAAGCGTTGTCAACATTGTTGAGGTGTAATCCAGATCTCATCTCTTGCAAAGCTGCGGGTGCAGTGGTGAATTTCCTCACATGGGCTGCTCCCAGACCCCAGTGAGATCTCACTGTTCTTTCTTTGTTGTAATATAGGCAGTAACTTCTGTGAACTCATTAAATGCTGTGCTCCATTGTGGGAAATGGCTGTTAACCGAGAGATAAAACTTTAGATGAAAAATGGAGAGGTAGTTAACGTTTGGTTTGAGGAGAGGAATGGGAAGGGAGTAATCCTCCAGAAAAAGTGACTGCTGAGATAGCAGAAAATAAATACTTGCACATCCTTAAGATTGTGCTAAAGGCGACTTCTTACCTGGTATTACAAATATTTATGTACAGAACTCCTGAAAGGTCACTGGATTTCAGAAGGCAGGGAATAAATGATATGGTGTGGGGTAGTAGCTCTGCAGACACAGAACTGAGATTAGGTTGTAGGTCTGTCAGCTCCCCAAGACCGTGTGATCTTTGGGAAGATACTTGACTATGTGAGCCTTTGGTTTCCCCATCTGTAAAGCAATGGTTAAAATACATATCTCACAGGTTACCCAGGCTATTAAATGAAATAATATATGAAAGAATGTCATGTAAACCTTAAAACTATAGATGATTAAATAATTGTCATTATTTATCTCCACAATATCCATCATGAGAGCAGGTGCTCAGAAGATATTTGTTTAATAAATGAATGAGTGGATGAAAAGCTATCACAATGAGCTGATTATAAGGATAAACATATTTTTCTTTCCAGAAGAATGTCTGTGAAGTTCCAAGGCATTTTCTTTGCTTGCACTACTAAAATGTGGAATCAATAAAAATCATTACTGAGAATTAAATACCAGTAGATTATATCAACTTTAATATGAAGCTAAATTTCTTGTATGAATACATTGGCTATTCATAAACTGCTGGGCCTATACTTCCACTGTTTACAGCATTACTGGAGCCCTTCACGTGCACCACAGCTTTGCAGTTCCTCTG